TTCTTACAGAGTTGTTATTATTTGCTGATCTTTTCTTGGTTAATTTAATATGTTCAAAACTCATATCATACTGTACAAAATAAGTAGGATGTACGAAAGTATTGTCATGATCTGAAACAAGAATATTTCATATTGTAATTTCAACGTACAGATACATTTCAATAAATCTCTAATAAAATAAACATACGTGATAAAGAGGAAGATTTAACACGCCTATAACCAGCAGGTGTCTGGGTAAATGATTCCACAAAAATTCTAATACTATTTACTTGATCTAAGAGTAAAGTTTCTGAAATATAACATATTCTAATGTTAATCATACAGTCAAAAGATTTTAAACAAAATATGTACCTTTCGGTTTAATATGTATTTTTTCTGATGAAGAATTTGTTTGTGCAAAAGATGTACTGCATGGTGAAATTTTCTTCTTACTATGTTCGCATATGTCAAAATTATCAGATGTAAAATCTATCGAACTAGCAGTTGGGAAGCTTGATCCAACCACAGACAATACTTTATGCTCATTGGGAGAAGTTGTTTCTTTACCCGGATGGTATTTCCAAAATTTTATATTGTCATCAGTAGACACATGAGACTGTAAAGTACCGCTCAACGAATTATCGCTGAAATCAAAAACATCTTCACCATGTGATTCTCTTAATACCTCTCCTCTTAATCTTTGCGCTCTTGCAACAATTTGTGTAACAAGTTCATCCATTACTTCTTCGTTACCTCTTGCCGAAGTTTTTTGAAATTTTGTTCTCCTTGACTTTAAAATGGATTTATAAATTTCATCTTTGGCTTTCAATTTATTCTGTACATTATTACTTGTTACCTTTTCTGGATATTTAAAACTATTGGCAGTTACTAGCATAGTGTTATCAATACCATCCTCTTTGATGTACTTGTTTGGTTTTAAATGCATATTTGAAAATTTTGTTGCATATTCTAATTTCATGAAAACATGTATTTCTCCTATTTTACTTTCAGATTCATTTATTATTGGTACATATTTAACATAGGGCTTTAATTCAAAGACTTTTAATAAATCTGTGATTTTAGATGTTCCTATGACTATGTTATTTTCTTCAGAAACAATTGTTAATTCTATACACTCACAGTTTTCAACATATTCTTGAAATAAATTTATATTCGTACGAACAGCATAAACTTCTGTTATTTCATATGTTGATCTTATAATATTTTTTGCAACGTCCACTGGCCTGGAAAAAGAATGTACTTTATAAAGTCCACAGAGTCGTTTAATTTCATTGATATAAGGATAAAACAACTTAATTTATCTTATCAGTAATATAAAAGTCATATGGTATAAATTTGAATTTCTAAATATAAACTTAAGTAAATTTTAAACATTAAATGCGTAATCTCTTTAGAAGAACTCTAAAATACTTTACCTAAATTGAGCATTCCCAGTCTCACCCCACCAAGACGCAAATATTTTAATGTCTCCGAAACTTTTATGCGACCAAACGACTTCATCTATAACAAGTTTCAAATAACCGTGGATTTTCCCTTCAACTAACGGCGGTAAAGATTTCTGAGATTTTATCTCCGGATCCATTTATGTTTTCTGCACAAAGCATGATTGAATTTCTGTACTTGTTACACGTATTGATAATTTAGTTTAACATTATGTACTTAGAACAAGCTGATATGAGTCAGATTATTAAGTAACAATCTATGCAACAATCACCACTATTGAAATTGGAAGAAATAATTAACAATCACACTTTTATTCTGTCCGTTTTTCTGTAAGCTACTGATAACACAATCAATACATAGTTTATCCTCTGCAATTTAATTTCTAGCCACAACGACAAATACAAATGTGCTGCCACCTTTTCAAATATAATTCAAGCACATTGAAATGACACACGACGGTAAATTACATATGTATGTAGTTAAACGTGTTCCAACTGATTGGTTCGAAACTACAACATTCTTTTGTGAATTATGTAAGTAAAAACAATTTCTAATTTAGAAACTTATTGTATATTTACAAAATATTTCAATAATTGATTGAGTATAAATAAGATAACAATTTTTTCCATTATTTGCATGTATTGTCTATTTGTACTTTGGACGTGCAGCATAAATGTACATACATACATATGCATGCGTATACATAGCTCTGAAGGACTGTGCAACCTGTTTGAGGGGGATGAAGTAAGCGCAAAAGCAGGGAGCATAATTTCGACCATACTGTAAGCAATTAGTGTTGCCATCTATTGTCAAGTTATAAAACTATACATTTGAATTTTAACGTGAACATAAATACATATTTTAATTTAGAATAACTATTTATTATCGTAGAAAAATGATACAACTACAAAACTCAAGCAAATACACTATGAAATGGCGGCGATAGCATTATGTATATATGTATGTAGTTGCAACGAAGTTGCAATCACAATTTAATAACAGATTACAGCGTTCCTTGATAGGATATATGGCGATATATAACTCTATATATTGATATATGGCCAACGTATTTGACTCCTGCCAACACATTCGCTTCCGCTCCGCGTCCCGCGTCATCAAAAAGTACAGTTTCATCTTTCAGATCCATGGTGTTATGTGTTATGACAGGGTAGGAACCGTTAACTGTATAGAGAAAAGTGGGGGCACTTTCTTGACTGCCATCTTTCTTGGCAGCAGGCTTGGACGATTTAAAATTCAATATGGCTGCCCATCCGCATGCGCATTTTGTGGACTGTGATAGACCACGTGCCGACGGAACATCATTCCCGCCATTTTGAGTGAAGCCAAGCTGACTACAAGCGAATCAGCGAACAGATATGTACTGAACATAAGCAGTGAGCCACACTTATTTTTATTTCCCATAGTCACTTGTATTTCTACAGGGTGTCCCAAAAATTTCTCACAATCCGAAAATGGGGGGGGGGGGGTTCCTCAGGTTATTTGAAGCAGCTTGGTTGTTTTTAAATGTCATGAAATGTGAAAGAGAGCAAATAAAACTGCCGGACAGTAATGAGGAGCAGTTATTTAAGACATTGTTCAATGAAATAGGGGGAAAACGTTGAATCGATATAAGCTATAATGCTAATGCTCATACAGAATGTTCCATAATTATTTTAACAGCCGAAAATGAGGGGTAGCTGAGGTCATTTGAAGTAACTTTTTCCTTTGCAAAAATGCAATCTGCGGCTTTGTTTACGAGTTATTAACGGAAAACACTGATCAATGAGTGGTGACGGCGCGAAGTTCGAGAGCCCGCGGCACGAGGCTTTGACAGATGGTCGGGACGGACTCGAGCCGCGTTCGAAGTATTGAACAAATCACGAAGCGAGAACTTTCCGCATTTTTTTACTACGTAACAGTGACATTTTTAAGAAAAACGCTGTTCACCTTTACTTTTGAACGTTTGAAGAATATTTACTAATTTTTCGGATCCGAAATAGTAATTAATTTAACCGTGACGGTCGTTTTAATTTTCTAGTGTGCATGACACCTTGTGTGTAACATATGAAATTTTTAAGCAAGGTGTATAGTGAAGATTAACAAAGTACGTAAATGATATTTTAATTTAAATAATTCCGTGTCCGAACACAGTTCAACGAATGATTCGCAAAGCTAATTTAATAAATAATAATCGTGTTAAAGGACGTAAGGGACATGTTTGTTAGAGAAATGTGAAGAATATTATCAATAAGATACTCACTCAAGGTTATGTCAAGGTTATGTCAAGGTTATGTCAAGATCATATCAAGATTATGTCAAGGTCAATAATTCCGTGTCCGAGCACAGTTCAAGGAATGATTCGCAAAGCTAATTTAATAAATAATAATCGTGTTAAAGGACGTAAGGGACATGTTTGTTAGAGAAATGTGAAGAATATTATCAATAAGATACTCACTCAAGGTTATGTCAAGGTTATGTCAAGGTTATGTCAAGATCATATCAAGGTTATGTCAAGGTTATGTGAAGGTCATGTCAAGATCATGTCAAATTAGTATATTATCTTCAGACTTTCTAAAGTAAAGGTGAACAGCGTTTTTCTTAAAAATATCATTGTTACGTAGTAAAAAAAAATCCGGAAGTTCTCGCTTCGTCATTTGTTCACTACATCAAAGCCTCGTGCTGCGGGCTCTCGAACTTCGCGCCGTCACCTCTTATTGGTCAGTGTTTTCCGTTGATAACTCGTAAACAAGGCCGCAGATTACATTTTCGCAAATGAAGAAGTTACTTCAAATGACCTCAGCTACCACTCATTTTCGGCTGTTAAAATAATTGTGGAAAACCCGGTATAAATATAAGCTGTCATGAACATTATTTTGGAAGCATTTAAAACTAAAATAGGAACGACAAAGAATAATTATTGCAACTTTTATTTATCGAATTGCAATGACGGGTTTATATCTTCGACTAACTTCGCGTGTACCGTCGGCCGTCTTCAGTGAATCGAAATTCCGAGCTCTTATTCCTCTAAAATCTTTTAACGCTATAAATTCCAGTTGAATTTTTAAGTATTAAAGCATTTGGGATAATATTTAAAATGTCTGGAACATTTCGGAAATGTATGAAGAATTATGGATTTTTAAAAAGAAGAGTGTTATTAAATTGTCAAAAGACAAATTATTTAGTTTCTATGTCACACTATTCATCACGTTCAAATGAAGAAGAGTTACCAAATCTTTATCGACATTTACATTCGAAAATCGTAGCATGTGGACCTATTACTATTGCTGAGTATATGAGAGAAGTATTAACTCATCCAACTGGAGGTTATTACATGAATAGAGATGTTTTCGGAGAAAAAGGAGATTTTACAACATCTCCAGAAATCACACAGTTATTCGGGGAAGTATGTAAGTTTTATTCAAAGTCCCCAAATAATAGCATATTTCAATTTTATTCATAATTCTTCTAAAAAAGATTTCCATGTACATTTTTCAGATGATTGCAGTTTGGATAGTGTATGAAAAAATGAGAATTGCTAAATGTCCCTTCCAAGTTGTTGAGCTAGGTCCAGGTAGAGGAACTTTAATCAAAGATATATTACGGGTATGTTTTTAACATTAAAAGTAAGTGTATAAAATTTACTGATTTCTTTGTAAAGATATATGTTTATAACACAGGTATTCAAGCAACTGCACATTTTAAACGACATGTCAGTACACTTGGTGGAGATTAGTCCTGCTTTATCATTAATTCAAGCAAATAACTTATGTAAAACAACTAAAGAACATAATATTAAAGCAAGCGAGTCCAAACAGAATATTGTCACTTATTATAGAGAGGGTGTTACAGAAGATAATGTAAATATATATTGGTATTATTCAATTAAGGATATACCTAAAGAGTTTAGTATATTTTTAGCACACGAGTTTTTTGATGCTCTGCCAATACATAAGTTTCAGGTATTTAAAAGATGAAATAGTATTAAAATCATATGAGTATGATTTGTAAATGAAACTTATCCAACTTCAGAGAACTGATAAAGGATGGAACGAAGTTTTAGTAGATATAATTGAAGGATGTAAGGAAGAAAAATTTCGTTATGTATTATCCAATGTACAAACGTCCACTATGCTTTATATCTCTGTAAGTATTTTAAATTTTACTATGATTATATGATGTAAATAATGTTACAAGCAATTAACATCCATTTAAACAAACATTTTGTTATTATTTTTAGAATGACGAAAAACGAGATCATGTAGAAGTCAGCCCACAAACACTTGCTACAGTAAAATATATAGCCCAATACTTATTGGAATGTGGTGGATTTGCTTTAATTTGTGATTATGGACATAATGGCGATAAAACAGATACATTTCGCGCATTTTCTCAACATAAACAACAAGATCCACTCTCACATCCAGGAACTGCAGATTTAACAGCAGATGTGGATTTTTCAATGATAAGCAAGGTTGCAGAAAAAGATGACAAGCTGATAACATTTGGACCAATAACTCAAGCAAGTTTTTTGAAAAATATTGGGATTGATATACGGTTACAAATACTTTTACAAAACACATCAAAAGAAGCTAAAGAACGTTTAGAATCTGAATATCATATGATAATAGACGAAGATAAGATGGGGAATAAATTTAAATTTTTATCTCTATTTCCTTCTGTCTTGAAAGATTATTACCAGAAATTTCCAGTGACGGGATTTTGTGATAAATGAAAAGGATGAAATGTAAGATATAACAGTGAAATGTCTAATTTACAATTTCAATAAAATAAAATAATATTTATTTGCATTAATATTTGTACAGATATCATTATCAAATTCACATTTCAGTTTTAAACACGAATCTGTAATTTAGTACCATGTATTAATATTGCTGAATTACATCAATTCACTATTGTGCAATCAAACTTTTTCCAAGTTTCCAAAAATTTCAGTACTTTTTCTCGTTGTCGATCGAAATTTTCTCCCTTCGGTTTACGCCATACATCATGATGTAAATCTAACATTCCACCAATAATCTCCTGCAATAAAAAGCAAAAAATTGTTTTCTTAGATAACCATATTGTCTTCCTTAGGTGTATTTAATAAAAATATTACCTTTGCAAAAGTTTTTGGAAACATATTTTCATCTTCTATGACATGCGCATATCCCTTGTCGATTTCAAATTCAACCATGAAATAAGATAAACCATTTGGTATGGCTTGTCTTACGTCCTTGCGTTCTAAATTAATAACCTTCTTGTTCATAGACCACTCTGTTTCGCATTCCAGTAATGCTTTCTGTATACAAAATTATGATAAATATTAATAAAGAATAAAGATTAATTTAATTAAATATGTTTTATTATATATTTTTGCTATATCTTGCCTTGAAGTAAATAGGAATTAATTCACCAATTTCTTTTGGTAAGGGTACACATTCTAATTGCATGTGTAGAAATTTTTGACGACTTTTATAAACTTCATAGAACACCGGATACTTATTTTCTTCCGCAAACATGTTATATAAAGCTTGTTTGAATACCTGAAAGTATTATCTTGATATAATCTTTATGCAATCATAAGGATTTCAGAATTATGTGTATTATACCTTTAATCTTCTCCAAATATCTTCATCTAATTGCAATTGACATGCAATATGCTGTACTGGCGTGATTATACAATGTCCTTCAATTAAAGAAGTGTATGTAGGAAGACTTAAACAAATTTCAGAGTCCATTGCAACAATCATATGTTTTAACATGTATTTCGAATCGATACACCAATGACAAGTATCCAAACTTTTTGACAAACGTTTGTCTTCCTTAATGGCAAGCAAACGATCTTTCTCATCTTGTTTCGAATTCGATTGAACTCGCGTAATTTGTTCTTCAAATATTTCATCCATGTTCATGTTCTGTAAATTTATATACTTATTAATATTGTATAGAATAATATTAAAAAGAATGCTTTACTTATCTGCATACCTTAGAAGCAATTTTGCTAAATATCGCATCATCTTCATTCGTGGATCTTCCTTTCTCTCGTTGGAACTAAACCAATTTATTATTTTACTTGTCTATAGCATTAATAAATTTAATTGGTTTATTTATATAAACTACTTACCAATTCTTTCAATGAATATTTATCATCGTCGAAATAATGCAGCACCCTTTTCCCTGCATTGTGAGTTTGTACAGATCTTTGCTTATTATTTCCTAAAGAATCTGTAGACTGACTCCTACGCTCCAGTGGTCTTGTAATACCTGTTGATAAGGATCGCTCATTAACGAATCTTTGCCTCCGAGTAAAAATTCATTGTCTTTTATATATACCTTTAATATCAGTTCTTGTAAGAACTACATTTTGGTCTTTTCCTGACTCGTTCAATTGAATAGAATTTGTTGCAAATTCTCTAGCTTTTTTCAATTGACATTTTAATTCAGCAACGAGTTTCTATAAAAATATAAAAATTTTTATTATTTATCAATACTTTCTGTATATACAAGTATCAAAATTTGGTACAAACGTACAGTATCACCCATTATTTCTGCTTTAACAATTTTTGCCCCTAATTTATTTAGATCTGATTCTGTTACAGTATTCATTTCTTTGTTACTTATGTTATCTACATTGCTGTTGTATTTAACACCAGTGACCTTCGATTCAGAAACTTTTAATGGAGTATCTTCAGTTTTATCTGATGTCTTTACTTTTTGCCACCTTTTTGTAGTTGAATAATGTGTATTGTATGAAGTATTAGCAGAATAATCATCATCTATTGGTCTTTTATAAACCTGCTTACGCTTTTCATGATATACATTAGCCTGTGTACTGTCTTGTTCACTTTGATTTCTAGATTTAGACTTATATTTTTCAGGTCTCTCATAATCACGTTCTTCAAGCTTATATTTTTCATTATATCTTACATTGTCATTTTTTAATTTGTAATTGTTTTTTGATGCCTTTCCTTCTGCTTTCTTTATCATTGATTGAATAACATCTAAAGACTAAATCCGTAATACAAGTTTATTAACACTGTTTCTATAATATCTCGAAAATAAATAATAATCTATACTTACACCCCACCTATGAGCAGCAATTTCTTCTAAAGATTTTCCCTCTCTTTCTGCTTCTTCTTGTGCGCGTCTAAGACTTTTCTTAAGCCAACTTGCATCTATTTCAGTTTGGTCTGTATTTGATTTCATTGAATCTACATTAGGTAAACCATTTCCATCATTCTTCCAATATGGATTTAACTCTTTCTTGCTTTGCCCCAATTTGTCTAAATCACATTTATCTGAATGTTTGTCTAAGTTAACAGATCTTTTATCATTGAAGACGCAAGGAAATATACTGTTCAGATTCATCCAATCCTCTCTTTTACAAGATTTTTCTGTCTTCGTTGATGTAGGTACATTTTGACTCATAGCCTCTGATTGAACTACAGACTTTTCGACCCATTCCTGTTCAATATTACTATCATCCTAAAATTTAATTACCTCTTTCAAACATTACCTTTGTAAAGATTAGGTGCTAGAACATAAATAAACAGTAGTAAATACTCACGTCACTTGAATTTAATGTATCGTGCTTCTTTTGCTTTTTATGTTTCTTCTTATCTTTTTTCCTCGATTTCTTATTTTCATATATAGATTTGCATTTCTCCTTCTTATGTTTCATTTTTTAAATATTCGTTAATACTGTAATCGAAAAATCTATGTGCAATGCAGTCTATATATCCAGAACGATTCTAGCACAAGCACTCCGACACAATTTATAAGCATCCGATTTCTCATTCGTGTTTTGATGAGCATATGATATTAACTTCACTTACATATTGTGTATTGAGAGAAGAGACCACAAGCGCGATAAAGTGAGATGGCCTAGGTTTATCGTCCGTGTAGACACTACATAGAGCTCGCTAGTTTCGTTCTGTTTCTCTCGATCATCTCCTGCTTTCTTTCTAAACTAACTGCGCGGAACTGGATGCGCATTAAAATGGTGGGGATAAAAACGCTCGGAAAGTAGAGTGTAGAGATTGCTCGCGATGAGGCGGCAGTACTGCAATTGATGTACATATGCAAGTAGAGTTCGCTACTAGCGTACAGTGCGTATGTATGTACATATGTGTACATATGACAATGTACATCATAGATCTGATGCTAGAATGCCAGGACCAGGACGCTCAGGGACACTCATGAATCTTATGTACACGCACGTGTATGTATTGTACTTATATTCATACATTGTACATACATTTTCTACAAGGTCGTCAATTGAGAACATATCAGAAAAATAAACTGTATGCATTGTTCGTAGGAATCTTTCCTACTCCCATTAAAATAATTTAAATTTACCGCCATATTATCAATAAGTGGCACGATCTATCACCGACCTATCACAATGAAGCGTCAAATAATTTAAAATTGATTGAAAGGCTACCTAAACATAAACAACATGGCAGATAAGACGGAGGCAATAATACACGTAAAAAATAGAAGCTAATGAATCGATATTTCAACTATGCGCCGTCGCAATATTCTTTTGTGCGATTAGGTGTTTAGCTTTTACGATTACACCGTTAAAAATTTTTACCATTAAAAATATGTCGACTGAGAAGGTAGGTTATGTGTTATCAAACTTCTTTTAGCAAATATTTTTTTTCTTTTTACTTAATTATCGCAGATGACATATGAAACTGTTATTACGAGATTGTTCCTAATATTTACATATTTTAAATCGAAATTGCAATGAGGATAAACTTGCTTAATTTGGAGGATTACACAATTATAAAATTGTTATATGCAGGTTCTGTACCAACTATATCAACCTCATGGATCTGGTACAGTGTTTATCTCTTGGCGACCAGGCAATAGTACCCATTTAGCAACCACGGGCTATGATTCCTCAGTTGCAATTTTCGATAGACAAGGTGATCTGCAAGAGCGCATTCACATTTCTGGTTTGTGTAATGGATTTGGATGGGATTCTGATGGAGATCTATTGGCTGTTATATCACAAAATTCTTCTGCTATTGTATTATGGGATGCTACAACTGGAAAAAAATGTCAAATAGACGCTGGTGTAAGGGACAGCTTGACATGTATAATGTGGGCAAAGAGGACTTGCTTATTAGCTGTAGGGACACAGAAAGGAAATTTAGTTCTTTATGACCATATAAATGCCAAGTATGAACACTTTCCTTATGATTAGAACATTGCTACACATTCTTTGAGCAGTGAATACAGTAATTTATTAATTCCTAGACGGACACCGATTCTAGGAAAACATAAAAAACGTATAACATGTGGTGCTTGGTCTTATGAAGGACTTCTGGCTCTTGCCAGTGAAGACAAAGCTTTAACTATTAGTACAAGCGATGGAGATACACGTCGTGAAATCCCTCTCCAGGGTGATCCATCAGACATTCAGTTCAATGAAATGAAGATGGATCACAGAATCGGGGGTGAAAATACAGTATGATTCTTTTTTAAATTAGTATATAAAATCTATCTATACATATACAAGATATTAATTTCCTATTATCCATTAGATATCCCTTGTTATTAACAAAACCACTTTATTCTTGTACAATATTTTGGATCCAGAAAACCCCATTGAACTAGCTTTTCAGAAACGCTATGGTTCTATTGTTACATATAAATGGTAAGGTAACACATAATAGATTAAAATAAATTACACTAAATTCTTCTTAAAAGCAGTTTTTTTAGGTATGGAGATGGTTATATCTTAGTAGGTTTCGAAACTGGATATTTTACAGCAATTTCCACGCATATAAAAGAAGTAGGACAAGAGCTATTTCAAGTTAAAAATCACAAAGATTCGTTAACCGATTTGGCTATAAGTCAAACAATAGGAAAGATCGCAACGTGCGGTAGTAACATCATAAAGATACATAATTTACAGAATTTAGAAGAAACTGAAAAATTAATAACCGTCAGCAACGAAACAGGAATTAGTAAAATTGAATGGTCCATGGATGGATCCATGATAGCAACTGTGACTTACTCCGGAAATGTGTTAGTCTATTTAATACAAATTCCAAAACTGTTTAGCGTTTGCGGTAATAAAATTGCATTGCTTACTAGTTTGACTGAAGTAGCTGTACATCTCTATACCTTAGACAAGGTACATAACACTCATCTATTCATTGAAAAATCTAAATTACTAGAGTATGAGCAATATATGTATATGTGTATGTGTATATGTATATATATATATATATATATATATATCTGAAACTGTTCAACAGGATAAGTCAGAACCCATAATGATTAATACCATCATAGAACCGTCAGTATTGGCAATAGGCCCAACGCATGTAGCAGTGGGTTTAAATAATAGAGCACTGCTTTGGGACATATCGGAAAATCCGTACGACACTACAGTACACGTTGAAAGGGATTATCTTGCAACTATAGACAGTATACGACTGAATGAGACCTACGTCTCTGTTTTATTTGATGGAAAATTACAGTTGCACTCGGTAACAAGTACATTAAATTGAATATAGATTTAATATCTATATATTATTGATAGATCGAGTGTTAACACATTATTATTACAGATAAAAGTAAATCAATCGCTAACCAAGGAGGGAAGAGACACAAAAATGTTTCCAGATTTAAATGATTCGGATTGCAGAATAACATGCCATGCCCTTAGTTCGGACTTTTTAGTCTATGGAAATGATGTAAGTTGCTTAATATTAAAATTCCGGATATTGTTATTTTGACTTATTTTGACTAATTTACATTCATTGTATATTTAGATGGGTCACATAATCTACTTTTGTCTGGAACTTTTCAATCAGTGCACAGAGCATATACACAATAACGGTATAAAGGAGATTTATTTAGACGCAAACGGGACACAATTGTGTTTCATAGATAATAAATCCGACGCTTACATGTATAATCCTATGCAAGAGATTGTTTTTCAAATTCCCGATTGTCCGGATTGTATGCAAGGAATAATATGGGATCAGAATATTTTAGAACGCAATATATTTGCCGTATACAATAAAAACATTCTCATCACGTACATATTTATAAAATATTTCATCGAAGGTGAGCTCGTTTTAAGGCAAACATTTCAAAAATATTGAAACACGTTTTTCAAACAGGTACAAAAATTGAGAAGATAAATACAACGAAGTTGCCATCCGAAACGATACCATTGTTATTATACTCTGGTGAATTAACATTAAGTTCGATAAGTAATAAACTGATTCAAATCACGTTATCTTCTCACGAAGAAGCAGGAAATATTGTAGAGCCAACGAAACTGAAAGAAGTTTTAGAAAATCAAATTTCATGTAGACGGTAAAAATATTATTTGTTCATTGATAAATGATATATATATATATATATATATATATATATATATCATTTATATACATTTTCACCTCATTTTAGATTTGAGCAAGCGTGGAACACTTGCGAAAAGATTAATGAAAAAGAATCGTGGCTAAAATTGGGAGAAAGCTCGATTGCAAATTTGAACATTGATTTCGGTAAACATTCCTATCACATCTATAAATCGTATAAATATTTATTACTGATTTGGTTACTTTGAACCGCAGCAATACGAGTTTATCGACATATAGAAGTTGCCTCGATGGTGTGGGCATTACAAAACATGGAGAACATAGATGAATTGCCATTACTATCTGGTCACGCGTGCATTTTACTAGACGACTATAATCAGGCAGAAAAGTTTTTCCTACAATCTACTGAGCCAGTACAAGCATTATATCTAAGAAGAGATTTGATGCAATGGGAACAAGCATTGAACTTAGCGCAAAAGCTCAAACCCGATGAAATTCCTTATATCGCTAGGGAATACGCCCAACAATTGGAATTTACGTAAGAACTTCGCATCCGTTACATACGTGTATAATATAATTGTATTAAAAAATTGGTTACTGTAGGGGAAATTATCCTAAAGCATTATCGAACTATGAACGAGGATTGGTAGATACAAATAGCTCATCGCTTATGACTGCTTATAATCCACATCATCGCAACTTGTGTCTTGCCGGGATTGCCAGGATGTCTATTCGATGCGGAGATAGTAGAAAGGGTGTGAGCATAGCTATAGACAATGAGAGTTCAAGACAGTTGCGAAAGGAATGTGCAGAAATATTGGAATCAATGAAGGTACATGAACGTACAATGGAAATATGCGGACACTTGTTTTATGTATATATACATACCTCTATTTTTATAGCAATTCAGTGAAGCAGCACTGCTGTATGAGAAAGCTGAGTACTTCGACAAAGCAGCATCCGCATATATAAAACTAAAGAATTGGCAGAAGGTGGGGCAACTGTTGCCACAGATATCATCTGCCAAAATTAACATACAGTATGCTAAAGCTAAGGAAGCTGAAGGCAAATACGAGGAAGCAGCCAAGGCATACGAGACCGCGAAAGATTTTGAAAACATAATTAAGATTAATCTGGAACATTTGAACAATCCTGGTAACTCAATTTTTAATCTGTTTGCCAATGTTCAGTGTAAGAAATTATTATTGAAACATTTACAGCACGAAGCGTGGAGGTAGTGCAACAAACGAAAAGCGTGGAAGGCGCAAAAATGGTAGCGAAATATTTTCAGAAAATGAACGACTATAATTCAGCGATCAAGTTTTTGATTTTATCGAATTGCCACGACGAGGCTTTCCAATTAGCCAATCAACATGGAAAAATGGAATTGTATGGAGAAATTCTGATAAACACGGTCGACGATGACAATGCGCGAAAGGAAGATTTTAAAAGCTTAGCCATGCACTTTGAATCTCAGAAAAACAATTTGTTGGCAGGAAAATATTATTTTCATGCGAAGGAATATCAAAAGGCGTTACGACATTTGTTGAAAGCTGCTCAATTAATGGCAGACGAAAACGAAGTTTTGTCATTAGCTATCGACACAGTTGCTTCTTCGAAAGATGATAAACTATCAAATCAAATGATAGACTTTTTATTAGGCGGAGATGGATTGCCAAAGGTAATTGCATAATTTTGAATCTCTGCTATGTAAAAATGTAATAATTACATTTGTGTAATTTGACAGGATCCTAAATACTTGTTCCGATTGTACATGGCTATAAAACAATATAGGGATGCTGCAAAAACAGCAATTATAATAGCGAACGAAGAACAAATTAATGGTTTGTTTCTAATGTACATAATGTACATCGTATACATGTAATATATAGTTCTATAAAATCTTTTTAAATAATTTTTTAAACAGGAAATTACAGGAATGCACACGATGTATTGTTTAGTATGTATCAAGAATTGAAGAGAAACAAGATTACTATACCATTAGAAATGCAGAATAATTTGAGACTTTTACATTCATATATTCTGGTTCGGCTGCACGTAAAGAAAAGCGATCATTTGCGTGGTGCTCGCATGTTGATAAGAGTAGCCAATAATATTTCAAAGTTTCCATCACGTTAGTAGAATAATATGATATAATTTATGCCGCAAAAGCTGCTAGAAGATAATATAGATAATTATTTTAGATATTGTTCCAATATTGACGTCTACCGTAATAGAATGTCAAAGAGCAGGATTAAAGAATGCGGCATTCAATTTTGCTGCCATGTTAATGCGTCCCGAGTACAGGAATCAAATTGATGCTAAGTATAGTAAAAAAATTGAAGCAATCGTTAGAAAACCACCGAGATCGAAAGATAACGAGGACGAAGATGAACCTCTAACTCCATGTCCATATTGCAAGAGTAAACTTACCGAGACTGAGATCACCTGTGATAAATGCAAAAACACGATACCTTTTTGTATAGCTACAGTTAGTTTCTTCGTCAACTAGTCTGCTAAACTTCTTGCACGAAGTTGTATGTTGTATGTTTAATTGCGGAATTTTTTTAGGGACGACATATAGTCGAGCATGACTTCACTGCGTGTCCTCAATGTGATTTCCCTGCCATAAAAAGCGAATTTTTAAGGTACACTCATATATACATATATTACATAAATTATCATAAAATCGCTAAATCTATTCGCTTTATCGCATTAGAATAATTGAGACCGAAGGAGTATGCCCGATGTGTTCGGAAAAAGTAGATGTTAACATGGTCTCCTCCTCTCTAAACATTCGTCCCTATCTGGATTTTCAAGATGAGAAAGCTTCGTCGTAAACGTTACCGCTTGTAATTTCATTTACAACGGATTCGGAGCAACACTTCTAGAATAATATTTTGGTCCTTTTTTTATAAGAGTATATCATGCATTTTACATGAACTAGATAGGTGTAACTCAGTACAAGTGTTTACAATATAAGTATTGAATTAGCCTTATAAAATGGTGCCGTCCAATATAAGTACAACGCAATTAAGTACAAGTAGTTTATTACATATATTGTACACGGAGTTGGGCATTGGGCAATAACTAATTAAAATTTCTAATGCGTTTAATGTTTATAATTGAAAAGAATTAATCATGATTAAATCGACGATTAAATAACTAATTTAATCATAAATCAAATTGATGTTTAAATGTCTATTTGAATTGTAATTGTAAATCGTTAACTGCATTAATCATTTCCCAACTCCAATTGTAGACTAACTATGCAGATTATATACAAGTCAACTAGAGCACGCATTGTAGGGGTGTAATATGTTGATAGCGTCTTCAATAAACTAGTCTCAAGCAATTAATTTTTTATTCAATTCTACCATCGCTACCGCATCTAAATTAATTAATTTATTAACATCAAGTGTGTTTTTGGCATAATGTATTTCGCAGGGAGACCTGTTTCGTAACCTTAACGTGAAGACTATACGTTTCATAATTAACTTTCTCTCCCCGTAGAAGGTACATGTAAACTACGGACTACGATAACTTAAAGATGTTGCAAATCCACAATTTCGTGAACGGTAACTTAAATCTGGAGCGTTCGCAAAACCGTTATGTCACATAAAAGCGACATCTACATGACAAACTACTATTGTACGTACACTTTACTCATCAAGATTCCTGCACACAAACTTACACTACATGTACGTAAAGAATAACAGCACGGCATGACTTTGAAAAATTGGAATTAAGTGATGACATGATCGAATTTATGACTAGGGAAGCAAGAGAACCGCCAACCTGCATAAAATCCAATTTATAACACAGTTTCCACGCTACTGTGAAAATCCTTAATTCAATTAGATTGATTTAGTTAAATCACAACAATTTCCTACGAACACGGAATACAAGCTACAACAGTAATGCGCAGATTGCTATTCGAAAATCTTTAAATTAGCAATTTTTTATTCACTACACTTCGAATCGAAAATATTGAAGACACGTATGAATTGTTCCTTACGTTGGAATTTTTATCAGATCTCTTCAAATTGATGAATTATAACATCGGTATCAAAATTAAATATTTGCGGCGCGTGTATATTTATCGTAATGATTACGACATAGTTCGATAAAGCTTTATCCGCTATCACATGTATATTGAGATTGTTGAAAACGTTTAAGTTTATACAATATATAGGCTAAGAATATGAAAAGTCACGATAGTTTCCGAATTAATCAGCTTTTTGTATGTAAAGTACATGAGTAAGTAAAAGAATTAACTGCTCCTGTGTGAGTAACACTGTACTAGCGTAGTGTTAGTGCGTGTCAAAACATACAGTATTCTCCAAAAGAAATTGCCTTCATGCAAAATGATCAGTGCTTCATCTTTAACATTTTTTTCAAAATTTCACTCTGTGTATTATGAGTTGTACCAGGAGCAGGTTGTAAAAATAAATTTAGCTTAAAAAGACTGTAATCTTCAACAACCTACTACAGAGTACATAGTAACTACACCATGACTTTCGGATAACCTTAAAAAACCGAAATTTTGATTCAAGGTTATCGGAAGGTCATAATATAGTAAGTCGTTGGATTCACTTTGACGGTAGCTATAACTCTGTAAAATCCAGAATAAACGATATCATTTTTAAAAAATCAAAGCGACTTTGATTTTCTGTTTAGAAAACAATTTGTTGGAAATTTTTCAGATTCGGAGGACTAAAAGTTGAACAATTTTTATCCAAAATATTTCTTTGAGAAATTAATGAAAATATCAAACAAATGCTGATTTATTTTGGAGGATACAACAAACGCTATTTGTATATGCATAATGCATACATACATATAGCTGTAAATATACAGCCATGTTAAACAACAGTCTTGTTGAACGAAGATTGTAGTGCGTTACTTAGAAAGTTAAATATTTCGATTCTTTTTGTTTCTTTTGCGATTTACCACTTCTTCTCAGCGACACTACGGATTTTAAACACCCTATATGATGTATAATCTCATCGCTGTGGCTGTAGGTATCAGCGCGGCCAGTGCCGGTACGTCAGTAGTACATGGTTGAGGTTGCGCGCGAGTCGTTTCACCGTACATCTCGGAAAGTATTCTTTCGTTGATTCGAGGGGTCGTTTTGAGATCTTTCTTGCAATTTTAACTGCGTTCAGAAAATACGGTTGACGTTCTCCGAGCAAGGAGAAGTATCGTGTTTCTTGCAGAGGCACGTAAACTGGTGGTCAAAATGGCGGAAAAGAATGACTCGCCGGGTTCCACATCTACTTCCATCGACCAACAGGGTCACCAACTTATATTGAGTTTTATCGCGGAAATTATAAAGAGCCCGATAAATCTTGTTCTTGTGAGCGTGATCACCGTGCTGGTTTATAAAATTGTTAAAAGCAAGACAAAGACTGAGATACCCGTGCAAGAGAAAAAACCATTGTCCAAGTTAAGACGCGATTTTACAGTGAAAGAATTAAAACAATACAAAGGCACCGGACCAGATGGACGAATATTGATTGCTGTCAACGGGAATATTTACGATGTCACCAGGAGGGCCCAGTTCTATGGTCCCGGTAAGATTTCGTTGGTTCGCACCTTTCTTTCGCAACATTCATATCACAGGCTCGCCCGACAGTTTTTCTTCGTCGTATGCATGTGCTTCTCACTCATAATTGCGACTTCTTTTTTCCTACTCATCCAAGTTGCCGACCGTTTTTTAATTAGCTCACGTTGCAATCGTCATCGGGCGCCACGCCGCTTATCGGCGAACCCGACGATAATGTAGAAATAAATTTACAAACATCACGGGATCGTAATAACCGGTCTAAATACCTCTGATGAGATACTATACATGTTTATGCAATTGTGTATTTTACTAAACACATTTGTAGAAACCAAAATTGAATAGGTACATATATGTACCTCGTTAATAGCTTTCTTAAGATTTCTAATAGTATAAGGAACTCATTAACCTTTTTCCACATACAAGGGTTTAGAAGGCTCCGAAGTTTTAAAAAATTTACTAAATTTCCTTTTTTGTTTTAACGCTAATAAAGTCACATTTTCTTTAAACACCATTTTTAAAAATAGTGTACCAGTTTTTTTGGGCTCCGTTTATCCAAACATTAAAAAATTTGAGCTCTATCTTTGTTGCATTTCTTCCGCGTTAATGATGTCGATCTCTTTTCAAAATTTAAAATAAAATGAATGTAGATTACAACATATTTTAGATCCTTTTTTACACATTAATAGTTATAATATTTTAATCTATAAAAATTATACCTAACATCAATAAATACTAACATGTTAAATATTTTCACATCAGGTGGTCCATATGAAGCATTTGCTGGACATGATGCCAGTAGAGGACTGGCTACATTTTCACTAGTGACAAAAGAGGAATATGATGATCTTAGTGATTTAAACATCACTGAGATGAATTCTATCAAGGAATGGGATGAGCAAATGAAAGGTAATTTATTTTATTATGAAGAATATTTTTTGAATAATATATTTGAATATATTATTGAATATATTTTATTATAATATCAAACTGTAATGTTTCTGTCTTTAGTAAATATAAGAAATGGGCATTAAATAATAGAAATAATAATTGTTACTTATTAATTGCATTAAATATTTATCAACATTACTAAATATGTATGAAATTATAGCTCAGTTTTTCCTAAAATTATTTATTTTAGAAACTTATGATTACGTTGGGAAACTTTTGAAACCTGGAGAAGCACATACAAATTACTCTGATGAAGAAGACGAAGGTAGTCAACAAGAGGCTGAATCAAAATCAGAGCAACAAGAAAGCGAAACAAAGTCTGATAATCAGGGTAGTGAAACAAAGTCCAAGAATGATTGACTACTTGATGGTATATCAATTGCAAATCAATTTCAAAAAGATGTTGCGCACACACTGTTGCTGAAGAAACTATTAAAATTGTGGCTCATGAATATATTTTAGAACATTAAACCGAATATTTTATTACATAGTAATCATATTGAAATAAAAGGTAAAGTGGTATCTTTCAATCGAATTAGAAGTACGCACTTGTTCCAAAGTGGTGTTATGTGAGAAGACCTTTAAATATCCAATTCTCCAACAATATGGATACTTCTATGGTATAATGTTCTTA